AGACCTCATTGAAATATATTTAAGGTCTAAATAAATGGACAGAAATAGAACGTCTACAGATAAGAAGACAGCATCATAATGATATTAATTTTCTTCAAAGTAATCTACAAACATAATGAAATTCCAATAAAGATACTGACAGAATAATTCATAAAACTTGAGAAGATTGATATAACATCATTGAGGAACAAAAACAAATCAAAGCAATTTTAAAGAAGTTTGGGAATACTTGTCTTACCAGATGTCAAGATGTGTTACAAAGTAAGAGACAAGGTTCATATCGGAATGACAGATATGCAGCCTATGCAAGTGGCAAAGGATTAACACAAGCATATATAAAACACTGCAAGTTAATAAGGAAAGATTTAAAAATAACAATAGAAAAAGAAAATGAAAAACAATTAGACTCCTTATCAACGAGGAAACCAATGGCAAACAGCAAGTGAACATGAAAAAATGGCCAAGTCATTAATAGTGAGATTGAGAAAAACTTTAAAAAACCTGATCAAAGCGAAAGTCTGTGAGCATATGAAGTAACTGGACATTTCATGCACTGCTGATGGATGTGCCACTTTTGCTGGTATATTATAAAGTTGGATGTACACCAAACTCCTAAACCGGTTGTTTCACTTTTTGTTCGTACTATAGAAATACACAATTGCCAATATTGCCAATTATAAGAATGTTTACTATATCAGTATTTAAATAATAAATGTCAATTAAAAGAAGACTAGATAAATAAACTGGCACATTCATACTATGGAGCTCTCTGTACCAGTAAAAAGTAAACTGAAACTATGTGGACCAATATGGATAAATCTCAAGAGCATAATACTAATCTTATACCATTCATACCAATATAAAATAGTATATTGAAATATAAAAATTTTTATATTGAAATATAAAAATAGTATAAATAATTTTTGAATTATACACATGCCACAAAGCAGTAAAACCAAGCATGAATATATACTGGAATCAAGATATTGGTTACCTTGTGAACCTAAAGGGAGGAGAATTGGACTAGAGAGAGATATTCAGGGAGTTTTAATTGTATCTAATTTCTTAAATTGGGAAATTCTCTGTGCCTAAGGTGTTTCATTGTTCTTAAAAAAAAAAAACACTAAGAAAATTAGGAGGTAGGTGGATGGATGGGCTTGGGCTGATGTCACCGGAAAGGTAGGAGACGTAGATGACTGGGTAGGTATACAATCTCATCTGTCATTCTATGGGAGGGAATATAAGTTATTACAAGAAATGATTATTCAGTAAAGGTAGTCCAAAAGGACTTGAAATAAACTTGAAATGTTGAAGACACATTTGTGGATGTGGAGAGAATTTTTAGTAAGAAGTCATATTTTCAAAGCAAAACTTAGGGCAAATTTTTTACAGTGGCATTTTGGAGTAATTTGTGGAAAAAGAGGGCATGAACCAGAGAATGGATCTGGTAAAGTTCAATTATTTTGTGAGTGACTTTGGGAGGAGGATTGGAGGCTTGCATGTCAAATTTCAGATTCTACAAAGCTCAGAGTGATAACTAATATATCTGACAGAATCATGATATTTCGAGGTCATGATATGCTAGAATGAAGGCCTAAGCATGAGAACACTCCTGCAACAGTCAAAACGTGATACAGCACACTTAGTGTTTTTTTTTTTTTTTCTTAAGTTTTCCAGTTACAAGTCTGGATTCAAACTGAGGGCCTTAGCACATCCCAGGGTAAACATGGACCACTGCATGATGTTACTATCAAAAAGAAAGTTCAATAACAGAGTACATCTGACTAGTATCAGCAATTGTTCCAATCAATTTGTCCAAGTATGAAACAGCAATAAATCAGAATAACAAAACAAGCACAGTCTAGGAGAGGGCAACCAAAATGCTGAGAGTGGAGACAGTGCTTGAGAGCTACCAGGAGGCCTTCCCCAAAAACTTGGAAATGAGACTTCCCTTTGAGGAGCAAGCTAATTAAGTCTGCTTGGATGAGTGGGCTTAGACAGCTAGAGATCTAAGCTAAGATGCTAGCTGTACACAAGTGACTCTAGAGGTGAGTTACAGGTAATCCTTGAGAGGAAGACTGGAATTTGACTGTAAATGAGAAGGAAGAAACCTATTGATAATATCCATATCTAGAAAAAAGACCAGGCATTTCAACTCAGGGAGGGCCACATGCATCACACAACAATTCTGGTTTGTATGAGTTACCATTTTCTTTATGAATCCATAAATTGGCCTTCTAATTTGTACTTCTTCATCTTGCATTTGGAGTGCATCTTTCATACACTAACAAAATTGCATTGTCCAGACCTGAGAGTTAAGGGCTACAACATGAGCTGGTATAACCTTTCCCTGACACATAAGGCCCTTGCTGCTCCTGCAAAAACCCAAGGACACTAAGAATGTTGAGCTGGGAAGAAGGAAGCCAGAGGTAAGATTTGATGCTTATCTTCAAAAGTGTAGTTTTTCTTGTAAGAATGAAAATTAGACTCTTGATTGGGCAGACAGAACAAAGAACACTGGGTAGAGAGTCCCAAGAGTTCATATGGCTAGGAGGAGGAAGGTGCCAACCATCTGAACTGCCAATAAGGAGGTTCTTTGATCATAAGCAACAGAAAAATTGTGGGTAACTAGAGCAAATAAGAATAATCAAAAGATGGGCAGGGGATCATAGCTTTGAAGGAAAATCTGAAGTACTTGGAGTTAGGAGAGACAGTGAGCAAGTCAGCTACGGTAAGAGAGGAGCCAGGAATAAAAGGACAGTCACTTGGTGCACTACCATCATGACAAATTACCCTCTGCTGATTTCTTTCCTACGAATTACTGAGAAATACATTCTGGTTGGCAGACTTGGGACACGTGTCTCACTCCTCCCATCTTCTCCCCTGGCTGCGCAGGGTAGGGACCCAACAATGGTAAGGAACTTTGATGCTGGTCACATCAAGCCTTCATGCAATGGAAAGGGGGACATTTACCAAAGGAAAATGGAGGAGCAGGAAAAAAAATCAGAATCCTATTATATTCTCATCATTGCAAAAGAAGAGATCACTCATATATCTGGAATCCTAAGGAAGAGATTTCTGTGCTGGAAGAGAATGGGGAAAGGCAATTTAGAAGGTCACTTCCTGTTCTACGCTTCTGAAGAGTGACTGAGATGTGGAATTGATTACTGGGATCCACAGTTGTTAGGAAAAGGCCATTAAGGCAGATCTAGGTCTGATCTCGAGGGATGGCAGGGGACACAGCTAGCAGAGCAGCAAGCCATACAGAATGGGCCTGGTGGCTCAGCAGATTAACCAAAAGGAGCAGACAAGGTCACCACAAACTCACCATATGTGACTTGGAAGTAATCTTTCTTGGCTCTCTGACATAGTTCAATTAGAAAGATGGCAGAAATACAATGTGATGGACGTCAGTCAATGAAGAAGACATAGGAAATCTTCGCTCTCCAGACGTACTGGTTAGGTGGGATGCTAACTGGAGAGCTTAAAGGATGCATAGTGCCCCCAGGGACAAGAGACCTGCCAGGCTCAGAGCCAACCAGTGAGGACATCGAACAGAGCCCACCAGTGCCCAGATTCTGAATTTGACGTCTGGGAGACAAAGCAAATGATGAAGGGAACAAAAGAAATCACTGGCTACTAGTGACCTCTGGTGGATAGAGGATTTTGGCTTTTTTGTTGCATGGTCTTTTCCATTTTCAGAGATTAAAAAACTAGAGACATATTGGGCCAATTTATTTCCGGAGAAGTGTGTGAGAGAAGGGGTTGCTGGAAACAGCTCAGAAATCCTACCCAGAGAGTGGAAATGTACCAAGAACAGTGTGTGTTCTGAGTCACGCTAGGTTGATTGATGTCCTGGAGAACATGTGGACACATAATTGCTGTCAGAAACATCACCTGAGAAAGCAAGGTGTCTGGGCAGTGACTTCACTGGTCACAGGGGAATGGGGCACGATCATGGCAGCCAGCAAGAGAACAGGCTGACAGGCTGCAGGAGGAAGCCCCACTGGGTGCCAGCATGCTTTTCAAATATCTCTTTATTAGAACACGGAAGAGTGCCGTTATCTGTGAAATATGTACACATTTGCCAGTTCAGTGTTTTTATGGCTTGACTCCCACCACTTTCCTCTTCCCAGTGAGTGTCTGTGCCAAGCACTGGCACGCACTGTTGAGTTGTGAGGCTGTGACAGGATGCTTGGTGACCCAGGCCTTTGAAGTGGAACCAGTCTCACAGAGGGTCCCAGCACAATCAAGGAGGTTAACGTCAAGTCACTCTGGGCATGCCACATCCATCCCCTGTGGGAAGAGCTTTCATAATGTATAATCTTGACATTGAGGACAAGCAAAGGAATGGGAGGGTTGATGGAAGTTTAGAATCTGTCTGCTTGTACTTGGGACTAATCATGGGTGAGCTGAATTTAATGGGACGAGGACAGAAAAAGGAGCAAAGGAAAGATAAAAAAAAATAGAGGTAAGGCACACGTAAACAGAATCAGCGTTTTCAAGCCCTGGGCTACTGTCACTGCTGGCAGCAGAGCGAACACTGTCCTTGTCTCAGATTACCTGCGCGGCAGGAGGTGTCGTCCTGCCTTCTTTCATTATTCAGACTCCACCACACACCCTGCTCTGTTTACTGATGATGTGTGCAGCGTGGCAGGTCTGCTCTCCCCGGATTTGCTCCCTCTTCTCTCCATGTCATGCAGGGAATGTAAAAATAGCCTCACATTCATCATCCATTTGTGAGAATTCCACTTTTTCCTGCAATTTCCAGAATTCTGGTCTCCATTAGACAGATAAGAGGCAGTTAGCTACGCCCTAAACCAGTGACATCTCTGGGTCATTTCTCAGCCACCCACTAACCCTCAGAGCAGAGTTAAGAAAGACTGACACTAGTGATCCTTCCTTTTTTCCCTGCAAAGATCCTTTCCACAGATCTACACAGCTCTTGGGTTGGAGGACTGGTCATTCCGGGAATCTAGTCTATAAACCAGTTTGCTTACCGAAGATGAGCTGATTATTTTAATTTGCTCCAAAGCTTCTGTCAGGCTGTCTTCAATCTCAGAGTCATTTAAGGAGAAGAGGTCCCCGGCTCGTGAAAGATCTTTTTGTCCCAAAACCAGTCGGAAAAGTTGATGCATGTTGAGGAGTTTAGTCAGTCGACTCTCTGAAGAGCCAGGGCCATATGTGTCAGTTAGCAGAGATCAGCAAGACAACAACATGAAGCAAGAGGTTCACTTCATCGCCCACGCAAGATCGTTTTTCTGTAGACTTTGAGGACTTCTTTGGCACTCTCTGCAAGGGAAACAAATGACATAATGCAGCCACTGGCACAACAGCACGAGCTCAGAATGCGAACGCTGGGAATCTGGGCATGGTGTGACACACTGTGGCTTGATAATCTTCAGCTAAATTATTCCATAGGTTTCTCTATAATTGAATTTAACCTTCAACACCGGAATAAACACCACACTTATTTTTCTCCTTTGTACATCTTTCTTCTCTCTATGTTGCAAGGAAACAAGTGGACACGCAATAAACATGCACAGTCCTTGTGACATTTCCCACAGAATTTCATGAAATCAAACAGAAAGGGAGAACAGGGAGAAAGAGAACACAGAAAAGAGAAAACACCTTTTAGACCTATTACTTGGTGCCCCTTCTCCTACAACTTACTCTCATGGCTGGGTTGCCTTGCTATATTGGCAATAGAAGTCCCTTTGCCCCAAACCTTGGTCTTCAACACTTACCCTACTCCTATATACTCTCCAATCAGGCAGACATGAGACAAAGGAGTCTGTCCAGGGTTACAGGGTTGGATAAATTTCCACTGAGCATTCTCTGGAAATTGAACTGGAGCACTGACATTGAACGTGGGGAAGGGCTTTGAGATCAGGTGATCCTCTCTCTGTTTCCACAGTTGAAATAATGAAGTCTGCTATACTTTTTACTTAACAGTCCATAGGCTAACGCAAGGGCACAAATTAGACATCTGATTATTCTCATCAATCCCTTTCTAGGTCAAATAAAAATCACAGGCTGTTGGCATTGGTAGAGACCCTGGCATCATCTGGTGGGCAAGGAGGTTTAATGTTTCCTTGTGTCCTCATAGTAGCTGTGGCAGGATTAATGTCCTGATGTCAGAGCAGTGGGCTGCCCGCTCCCACGGTCTGCCACAGAGAAGGATCACCCGTACATTTAGGTAACTGACAAACGCAGCCACACGCTCAGGTGTGGAGAGCCAAGAGCAAGTTATTTAATTAAAGTACAGATGGTTCTGCCCAATATTTCATTCTGAACATGTTCCCTGGCATGAGTGTGAAAAGGGAGAGAGGAGTCTGTTGTTCTCAGGCCTTCCCTCTGAGCTACTGTGGGAGCATCTTTCTCTGTTTACAATTGCAAAGCTTCAAGACACAGACTGTTCAGACAAGATGGTCTCCAAGCACAAGCCAAATCTTTCGCCAGGCACTCAACTAATTAAGTTGTCTGCAGAACTTAAATGTTGCAATTCACGCACTACAAGTGCATTGTTGCCCATATGAAATTTCTGCACTATCTACTAACTCAAATACTCTTGTCTACCAGCCAAGAGTGGGCTCTGGGCAACTGTTGACTCATTTAATCCTCATGTTAACTATGTAAGGACGTATCAGACCCATTTGCAGATGAAGATCTTGAGGCAGTTAAGTAACTTGTCCACGCCATGCACTTAGTAAAGTGGAGAGCTGGGATTTGGATGAAGAGACTGTGGTCAGGCTCCAAGTTTGTAACCATGGTGACGTATTCACTCAATGTAAGATATACATCTACTGTTAGGGAGTAAAGGTCCCTCTCGCTGTATCAGCAACTAGGAATGAAGGTGTGGGAAGGATGATACAGCACCCTACAGTGACCTTGTGTCCTTGCCCACCTGTCCCTTGGGATTTAGGCCAACCAGAGAGCAGAAAGAATCACAAAGGAAAGAAGCTTAGGAAGAAGCAAGAAGGGTGTGATAGGGGAAGCTTTCAGGGGGCAGGGGGAGGCAGAGTCAGTGTACCACAAAGTTTGTACCCTGGCAGATGTGGGAGGATGAATTATGGCATTGGCAGAAACAGGGTAATGGTTCCCTGAATTTCCCCCCAACAGTCTTCCCCAGTCTCAGATATGTGCAGTGACAGCCTCAGCGAAACAACATGCAGAAAACTGCACTTGGTGAAAATATGTTCACCTTGGCTGATCGCTTGTTGGATGATTTTCGGCACTTCATGGAGCAGACACGGTCAGTCCAGGTTTATCGTGGCGTGTCCCTGGAGAAGGAGCAGAGCCACACACTGGGGGAGAAGAGCACCCACAGGCTTTTCCTGGGCTTCTTCTTCACACGTCGCCCTTACATGACACCTCGTGTGCAGCCCCATACTCCTGCTGCCAACTTTAGCTGTTACTCTTGCATGCCCATTATCTGCAAAACATTTCTTTGGGCTTTTAGCAGAAAAGCACCAAGTTGTTCAACACAAAGATGTACAGGAAAACTTTCACAAATCTAGGAGTGGGTGGGGAGACATGAGACTTGCCCCTAATATTCTATAATTTGAAGATGACTAAGAAAAGTCTCCTAGGTACTACCAAAAGAACTTCGAGGAAATAGAAGGGAAGGGAAGAGGATAAAGAATGGCCTCAATGAGATAATTGCATGTGTGTTGCACCTGTTAGGGCAGGTAAGCCTTTCACAGATTTCATGTAATGCACGTGTGCTGAGGGTCCCATCCAATAATGAGATTCAAGTCCCAGCTCTGCTCCTTGGCTTTTCCCTTTCCCTAGCCTCAGTTTTCTCATCTGCAAAAGGGGCTAATACACACCCAGTCTATTCCACTGGGTTGTTTTGAAGATCCAGTTGATAACATGTGCCTTTTGTAAAGTAATGACACGCCAACGACGTGAGGCCTGAGCAGCAGTCTCAGAAGTAAAGCTTCACTCTTATCTTTTCCTGCTGCCTGGAGTCCTGCTCCCTTCACACTAACCCCACAGCAAGCCACAGAAGCTAGGATTTCTCTTCCCCAAGGGAAGGGCACAGACACTAGAATCCTTTTTCCCAAAGAAAGTCACAAAGTCTAAAACTATGGATCTTCCTCTACCTTTCCATTTTGGAGCTGGCTATGAAGAAATTCTCTGGCCTGCCCCATCTGATAAAGATCCTAAGAGCCTCATTCCAGAGGAGGTCCTGACCCTCACCTGGGAGGAAGGCATGCCGCACAGAGAAGACCAGAAGAATCTGAACTGGCAGGCCTGGCTGGATTTCCTTTATCAGTCTATTACCATTAGCTCACAGCCACTGTATCCAATCGTATGTCTACACAGCTACCCAGATTTCATCAAACTTAGGCATCAAAACCAGCAGTTCATCCTGCTGCGTCTTTGGCTCCTCAGTCTGCAGGCTCCTGTGTCGAGTAAAACTACCATCAGATAAACTTGTTATGCCTCCCTCCAGTTAGCCTGCCCTGTGGCATCAGGGTCTCCATCATGATCCTTTATGATGGGCAGAAAAACGATCATTCCCTTTTCTGCCCCTATCGTGCCAACAACTCATGTTCAACAGGTGTTTGCCATCGTGTCAGGAGCTCCTGCGTGCTTCCTCAGTATTGAGTCACTTGATTTCCAGGGCAACTCCATCTGTCCGGATAGGGAAGCAGCCAGCAGCCCGGAGGCACCCAAATAGGGTGTAGAGTTAGGACTGAAGGCTGCTGGTCTCCCATAGCTTTGTCTAGCCACAGACAGGATCGTGTACAGTAACAACTGGTGAGTGGCCACTTGCCTTCCCATCAGCCCACACTTGAAGAGCGCCCATACACACAGTACTGTGCCTTCCTTCCCGGCAGGGGGACAGCCAATGTGCATCCTGAATGTTCCCGCAGCTCCAGTCCAAGTTTTGCTCAGGTGTCAGGTTTTTCCTGCTGGTCCTGCCACAGCAGAGCCAGATCAAATCCTACCCTACCCAACGCTCTGAGAAACTCCTTACCTGTGTGAAGAGCCTAGTCCTGTAGCAGGCATGCCTATGTGCAAACATCACACATGCACACAGAGGCACCTACACTTTAAATGCACCGATTTCTTTGTTAGGCATTTTTTTTTCCTCTTAGCGTTCTCCCGCCAACCTTGCAGGTAGATATTGAGGAGAGAGGATTGGCGAGGTTTGCAGTCACACCCGAGGTTACACACATTGCCACGATTCACAAACCAGGTGGGTCAGACTCCAAATCTTACAACTTTTGTATCACACACAAAGTGGCTTATGAAACCTCTTGCTCCCCACCTTCCATTTCTGTCTTTCATAATTTCCCACCGCCCCCCCTCCCCAACACCTCCCAATTTTTAAGCGATCCTAATCTGAGCTCACCCTCTGATTATCTAGTTTTAGGTTTTGTTGGGTTGTTTGTTTCAAGCAGGTACAGGTGGAGGACTCAGCTTTCTGTTAAGAAGAAACACACACAGAAGGAGTAATGCCTCTGCACCACGAGGGACCCATCTCAGGCAGCCACGCCGGGCCCCGCAACCTGGTTTACCTGCGTGCTCCTCCTCCCCCGCGCACTTGCGTCGCTCAGCTGTGTGCTTTGGCGCCGGGCGGGAGGTGCGGGCCGCGGACCGCAAGGGCACAGCCAGCGGAAGCCTCTCAGCTCAGTGAACCTGCAGTCGTCCGGTGCCGTGCCGGTGCCGGGTGGAAGAATTCAAGGAATGCAGCCCGATGCCACCGGCAGCCCCAGAGCCGGGTCAGGTGACAGGCTGCGCCTCACCCAGCCCAGTGACCTCGGAGTGCGACGCTCTCTTTCCCCCGGCGTGAAGCACAAAGCCTGCTCCAGTCCAGGAGAGTTGTTTTTCGCAGAGAAAACAAAACTGCCTGTGTTCGTGGAAATCTATACCCGCCCCGGGAAGAGTGCGGTGGGGGTGGGACGCCTGCAGGGAGCTCAGGCAGGTGAATGCTTGGGCTCCAGGGAGCCCTGTCACCCAGCCCCAGGGGAAGAGCCGGGAACTGCAGCCCGGCTCCCGCCCCCCTCCCCCAGGCTTCCCGGGCGAGCTCCGGAACTCTGAGCGTTTGTCCGACGGGACTCGCAGCTCCTCTGGCTCCTGCCGCCGGACGTCGTGGAAAGTGTGAAGATGCGCGGAGTGGCTGATACGCAGAACAGACTCCACATACACGCGCGCGCAGCCTGTCTGGCTACCACTGCACCACTGCATCTGCTGGGAGGTTCTGCATGCAAGCCGACACGGAGTAGACGTGTCAACTTTGTACTTTTAAATATTGCGGCAACACTCGGCAAAGCTGTTTGTCTGCTTCATCTCTTGACACGTCAACGACCAAAAAGCAGGAAACCGCTGCCTACTTGTTTAAACACTTACCCGAGCTGCCTTTTTTTTTTTTTTTTTTTTTTTTTTCTAGCGGTGTGCTGCTCTGCCCCCTGGTTTGTCTGTTCCTGTAGCAGGCCTGTAGTCCACCAAATTATCAGTCTGCTGGCGAGCCACAGGGGCTGTAGCCTGCAGTAAATTCTTCTTTGGATCTCCAGGTGTGGACACTGTCTCCCGGCCAGGAGGGTTGCCGCCCTGAGGTGTGTGGTCGGGGTGACCACAGCTGGACCAGGTCATAGGCTCCAGGAGAAAGGCTCATAAATCTTCTGAGACGCTCGGTCATCAGCCATAGCTTTCACTGTCCCGATGTAGAGAACGGTCCTCTTGAAGAGTTGCTTCGTGAAAATGGAGAATCCTGGCATCTTGTACTCTTCCGTTAGTAATTTCCTGACTTAGAAGACACTCACGAATTCTCCCATTTGAGTGGAATTTATTATATTTCTTTAGCCTCCCCACTTTTTCATCCTCCATCCATTCTTACTGGTTTTTATCCCTAGATTTTACTCAGTTTCTTAAATATTCTTTTAAAGTGTGTAGGGTCTGTATCAGTATTGCTGCAAACGTAGTTTTGTAAAACTTTGTTTTATACCTTTGTGGAACTGATGGTTAAGCATGTTATACTACTACAGTTTTAACGATCTGTGATTACTTTAAAATGTGCTATATATGGGTGAAATGGTCATTTTTCCATTCAATTATTGTTTAAAGCTGCTGTCCATACTCCAGCTAGGGTCTTTTTGCTTTTGCTTGCTAAACGTCTTACTCAGAAAGTAGTAAACTTTTTTACTGTAATATAAATTTAAAATATGTTATCTCAAAACTAATAAAAAGGGAGAAGTAAAGGGGGTGAGAGGCAGAGGAGGAGGGAGGGAAGGATGGAGGGAAGAAGAGGACATCGTTGGGAAGAAGAGGACATCGTTATGTTCTTGGAATTGTATCCACAAGTCATATTGAATCTGATAAAACTAATTAAAAATTGCAATTTAAAGATTTGAAAAAATAAAGTGCGGAGGGTCTAGAATTGGACCCTCTATGGGATTCTAGAAAAACAGAATGGTGAGAGTGTGGGAAAATGGACCCCATCTCAGCTCCACCAATAACTGTGGTGTAAATTTGGGCAAGTTAATTAACCACCCTGAGCCTCCAGGTCCTCATTTGCACCTGAGGATTTTGATATGGGTTGCTGGGAGGCCTAATGAAATTCTGTAGAACATTTAACACAGAGCCTGGCAAACATGAAAGAAATGATAGTAATGGTATCCTTAACAGTGTTATTATTCTAGGTCATTCTCATGTTAACACACCAGGGTACCATACCCTTGAAAAGCTAATACACTGCCCCTACTGTCCTGCTAACTAAAGTCAGTTCACAGCATTGAAGATGCTTAGATCTTTTGCATTTTGTGCATGTTCATATCTCAGCTGTACTCTCCCTCTGTCTGGAATCCGGGGAGTCCACACGACGAATGCAAACCCGACTATCTTGAATGTGTTCCTGTTGCTCTCTTGGCAACCTGACTCGTTCCCTGGAGGAATATCGCTTTCCTGTGATCCTACCCCAACTGTGGCTGAACAGTAGCAGAGAATTTTCTACACAGTAGAAAGGACTAGAACATAAGGTATCTCAGACTTTTGGGACTGAGCAATCCGAATACCTGAGTCTCCCCTGCAAGTGCGGTACACACTCCTGTGTTTATTGGCGAGAAGGGCGTTCTTCTCTAGAGCATGCGCACGCTAATAAAACCTTGATGGTTTACTCTACTTGCATTTGCAAATTCTGCCAGGCGGGGTATTTCAGCCCCCTGTCACTGGGATACTACTGCAGAAAAACTGATGCTCTCTGTGGGGTGGGGGTGGTTGTGGGAGGGCCCATTTGGATAGACATAATTAACTAAGGGAGACAATTTATTCTTAGGAATTCGGTTTCTATTTTGCAACCAAGTTAGAATCGCCCTGGTTTCTTCACTTAGAAAAAAAATCTAGAATAGCAATATTTATTCTCAGTGTGTTTTGGATATGACTCCGCATTAAACCATTTTCATGTTATTCAACCATTGACTAACTTAGACCCATTTGGGTTCTAGAAACTTTCAATAAAGTTCTCAGATTTTCCCCTTGCGAGAAAGGACTACAGATTCTTTTGAAGGAGCATCTTTGTCACACAGTGTGAAAGGGCCACCGGGCGTTCCCATGGGAATTTGCCGCATACATTTCAGCCCTTCCCACAAGATGGCCATTGTTGCCTGGACTCCCCTCTGCTGGGGCTTGTCGCTGCGCCTCTAATTCCACTGACAGCCTCTGCGGCTGTGTTACTGCAAATGACGCTAAAGCTCAGTCTTGCCTGAACCTGGAGTCTCGGACTGTAGCAGGCTTATAATCATGCCACATACAAGGAAAAAAATATATAGATATAGATAGATAGATAGGCAGCCTACAGAGGCAAGAGCTCAAAAATGTATTTGATTTTGAATATACATTGCAACTTAATTGAAACACAGATAGGAAACATTTTTCTTCATGGGGAATGAGATATCTATTTTCAAGGCAAACAAACTTCCTAAAGCCAACACTTTTTATGATCTGTCATACGATTTTCTGGTGCATCTATTGTTACCTGTAAATTTTGACTACCCAGGTCACAGTTGCTGGGAGTGATATCAGTCTTGGTTTTAAAAATTCTTAATTCAAATTCCCCAAACTCTCACTCTACAAAGAGCACTCAGTATTAAATAAATCTTCATTTACATTTAAATTCTAAATATTACACAACTTGACCAATTCAAATAGAGACCCGAGTGGGTTTTATTTTGCTATTTTAAAATTGAAAATACATACATGTCATCAAATCCAAAGGTTATTACCATAGCAATTTAAATGTGTCTCAGACAGGACAAGGTGGTGGTGAGAATTAGTTATATGACTCATAAAGTATCTGAAATACCGAAGAGAAAAATCCCAAGAGCAACAGCAGTGAGCATCGCTGGTGACGGTCCCACCCACTGCCTGTAATGATGTTGCTGGGCCTTTGAAAGACAAACCCAGTTTCTTTGCGGGTGTCGAAAGGCTTCTTGTGGGTAAACAAAAGTAGGAAATCGAAATGCCACTGGACTATTTTGGGATAAAACTAAAATGCTCATAAATGAGTCTGGAAGCGCTGCTCCTGAGGCCTGGAAACATGTTTTAATAACCCACAGAGAAGTGGCTGCTTCCCGCAAGAACTGAAGTGCAGGCATGGATACGTGGCTAGACACAGAGTTCCCAAATGCGCTGTGTCTGCATAATCAGCCAGCCCCTGGAAGGTTCTGGGCCTCACTCCCCAAGCCCCACTCCTTGCCTGCCTCCCCCCTGCAGTTTCTGATCTTGCCTTTAATGAGTTTCTGTTTCTGCAGAACAAAAGGACAGGAGAGGAGACAGCCATACCTTTTAGCGCCGGGAAACGCTGGTCTTCATAGGAAACAGAGGGCAAAATGCTTGATCCTTAGAACACCTCAGCTGGCACCCTTGATCGCGCTCAGAGGCAGCGCTTGCTGTCCAGCCGCTGCCCCTGCTCCTCCCTGCACTTGTCAAGCCAGCAGGCCTGCCCATGGACTTGCAGGACAGAATCGGGCAAATGAGTAACTTCTCCCCTCTCTCCCAAACTTCTTCCTCCACGTAACAATGGGCACAAAACTTCCCTTATTCCTGCAGCAGATTACAGAAGCTTCTCCAGCAGATCCCTAGTTTGAAAGAATTACATTTGCTTAGCAACCAGCAATTTAGGTTCTGTTAATGAATAACTCACTTTAAGGAATCAAGGAAGTTTTAGGTTAATATCAGATCTAGGGCATTTTAGCAGACACCATGAAAAAGGCTTAGGGCAAGGGAAGGGAAGCTGTGGAATGAGATGGTATTTAAGCCAAATATGATGGAAGAAAAATACCACCCAAGAAGCAAAACGGCTACCCCAAAGGACCTAAACTCTGACTTCGTCATGTTGCTAATGAAACAATGAGCAATTCAATCAAGCAACCCAGTAGCACTAGCGGAGTTTTCCAGCTTGCAAGATTCTTTCCATCCAAATCGCCAGCTCACTTCTCTTACCTCCAAACATAGAACTCCTCTTCCATGCGGATCCCTTACAAGCAGCCCTAAATGCCCACATCTTGCCCTTTGAAGGGTAATGCATCTTAAGACCTTTAATGCATAAATTAATCGGTGATACCCAGTGGATTCCTATACTTGGAAGCAATTCTCTCCCCTTATTGATCTGAGGTTTTGCCTACACATAAAGTGAGAGAAGATTTCTGAGCCTCCCCCAACCACAGCTGTCAGTCAAACTGTGAGTGTGGCAGACGTTGTGTGGCAAAGAGTAAGGTTGTAAGGTTGACAACTGGAAACATCAATAGCCCATGTCACTGGCAATCATGCTGCCATCTAAACAAACTGCTGCTTCAATTAAAATCCCTCCTCACGGAGCGAAGATTTCTTTTTTTTTTTTCAATATTTACCATCAAACATGAGCTTACCCTACTATTAACCAAGATTGCACCTAAGTTTGCCCTGGGAAGCCATGTCCTTTGGGTAGACCTGATGCCCATAAATAAGATTGGCCCTAATTAGTCTTAGTCAATCAGAGTGCTTTCATTCCTCAGATCACAGTTGTGACCCCTTCCAGGTCAATGAAAGACAAACGTGAATGTTGGGCTTTGGGGAGAAAAAGTCGTTGTAATCTAAACTTGGTGGCAAGAGGCCATAATGTCGGCTGCTCTTGCTATCTTAACACCAAGAAACCTGGTGACTTCATTTGGGTCCCTTAAACCAGCTGCCCTAGATGCTGGCAAAATCCACCCGGT